TGCTCATCGGTCTAATCCTGGAACTTACTGGGAGGCTTCTGCTGCATGCTGTGGAAAATCATCAAGCTGGATTCTATTCCTTCCTCTGGGCACGGATTGAATTAAAAAACCAGGTTAGTGACTCACATGCTTGCTATGGTTCCCTGTCAGAGTTACAGGGTCACTTACCTGTGTTTTTACATCTACAGAGATTCTAGTCATCTGGTCCATACTAACGAGCCACAGATCCCTGAGAAATTAAATAAATCACTTCATTCTGTCTGCCTGAATTCTGGATCCAACATTCTGAGCCTTGACAGTGGAGGGTGATTATTCACAAGAAGAGGACTCTGGCTAGAGTCTGTGCTTAAGGAGCAACCAAAGACCAACATACACAGGGCCTGGGCTTAAACTGTAACTCTTCCTGTTTTAGGTCACTCCTCAACCAGGGACAGGATAATAATTATTTTACTTTGGTTAAAGAGCAAAATTGTTGGACTGTTATTTGTAAGTTTTAAGTAAATCTGCTTTTTATTTTGGAATAAAAGTACCTGTGTTAAAATATGGAAAAGCAGAGAGGAACAGATAACGTGCATTGTGATTTTTAAAGGGTTAAAAATCAGACTGGAAAACAGTCTAATGAATGGTGTTAAAATGTATTTTGATAAAAGTTCATAAACCTAATAAGGCTACACAAAAAAACAGACAGATGGAGCCAAGAATAATTCAAGCATAGTAACTGGCATGGCAGGAAATTGGACAGATCTGACAAGAAGTGAAGGAAACTAACAGACTCATTAGTATGGGAAGGTGATAAGTAAGACAAGGACCAGATAAATCTAATGAGCAGAATTTAATGACAGCCGTGAAGAGAATATGACTAGAGTGTGCTTTCATGGGTTAGCAGGAAAAGCTAATGGCAAAGCATTCAAAGAAGAGATGACGTTTTAAAAGGAGAGCACATTCTTGGGAATGGCGAGTTTAGATGTGATTTTTCAGAGTGATCTGAATTTATTACATCATGTAAAGTTTACAATATAATTCTGCCTGCATAAGATATAAAACGCCATGGATCTCATGCAACCAGGAGTTGTTTATTTTTCTTTGTTGTTTTTCGTTATATGGGCAATATTGTTTTCTGTAGACCCAAAAGAGAAAACAGTAATGATAGAATGGGCAGGCTGAAGTGTCTTAGGAAGTTATGCGCAAATCACACCAATTTTTTGTAATGATTTTGCAAACGGTGTTCATCTACAAAAGCAAAGTAAAGTGGAAAGTTTAAACAAAAATAAAGTGTATTGATCATAGACATAAAGTAGACAGACAAAACACTTATCATATCATGTTCATTTTATTCCCAGAAAACCATTGAACCTTAACAGGAAAGAAGTTCTTCCCGTAGTCTGTTTTATATAGATGTCATTACTTATTTTACTGATTAATGCTATTATAGGTTATGGTTTAGACTTAGATACACTTCATTGTCATTTTGTATACACAGAGTGTATAAAAATTAAATTACATTGCTTACAGCTTCCAATAGTGAAATGAGCAGCTTACAACAGGGAAATGAACATTACCTGCTATGGTTCTCATTTGTTGTGACTCTGAGTTTTCAGTTTTCTGTTGTCAGTTGTTTTTATTTTCCATGATATTCTAGCATTCTTTGTTTACTCTCTGTTGCCCCCTTGTGATTGTTTTCTTTCCCCTTGGATTCCCTCTTGCCAGTTCCACCCACACCTGCTCCTCATTCAGCTCGTTAGTCCATCCTTTGTTTTGTTCTCCTTAAATACTCCTCCTTTGCAGTCACTCAGTGCTGGTTCCTTCTCGTTGCTGTATTGTCTACTCTGCTCGTCTCTCCCCGGCTCCTCAGACTCGTTTTTTCCCCTGATGTCTCCATGGTTTTGGTTTGTTTAATATTTTAAGTTGGATTTTTGTATTTCTGTCTCTGCTACCTTTGGTCTGCAATTAAACCTCTCAGAACTCATCTCTGCTTCACTCGTCTCTGCATCTGGGTCCTCGAGCAACCTCACCACCCATTGCTGACATTACCATTTTAAGTGCAGCAGTGATCATCATATAAATAGTATTGGAGAAAAGGAAAATATTTTTAAAAAGGAATAATAATGGTGCAAAAGAGCAATAAATGGAAAAATTCAGTGCAGTGCAACATAATTATGGTGCAAAATGGAGTATCAAATGAAAATAATATTCTCCTTGAACTCCAGTCGGCCTCGGCAGATGGCCGCTCACACTGAGCCTGGTTGTGCTGAAGTTTTCTTCCAGTTAATAGGGAGTTTTTCCTCTCCACTGTCACTACAAGCATGTTTAGTGTGAGGGATTGCATTCGAGTCAATGAGTCGATGCAATCAACTGGTTTTCGTTAGATAGAAAACTTTGAATCAGTTTTACTGTATGATCTGGTGAACTGTAAAGTGCCTTGAGATGACATGTGTTGTGAATAGGCGCTATATCAATAAACTGAATTGAAATTGACAATTGAATTAAACATAGTATAAGATGAACATATGTAAGCATTAAGATTTTTTTTTTTTATTAGGATAAAAGGTTTGCTTTAGCACACTTCCAAGAGTTTATTTGACCTGTTGTCTTTTACGTATTATATATATATTATTATTAAATTAAAATTAATAAAAACATATTGTAGGTGAAATGTTCATACATAGGACATACAGTTTCTAAGGATGAAATCACTTACAAATCAGGTAGTGTTTTCAAGTTACAAAATCATTGTGCCTTTGCTACCCAACACCGCTCTGCTTCAACTATGTGTTGTTGTTTTTTACTGTTTGAGGCACTGTTGGCTCTGCTAATGGCTCCAACATAGAGAACTGCTCCCTAAACTTTTACTCTGCTTTCTAATTACATTTTTCTTGTAATTCTGTTTTGGCTCTATGATAGTGTCTGAAAGAAACCTGAGGTTTCCCTTTTACCTCATGAAAAAGCACAACAAAATCTCCAGTTAGTGGTCTGACAGTTCTTTTTCTTGGGCAGATGTTTCAGTATTTTTGTATTTTATCAGTGTTATTATAACACACACACATAAGGATGTCACAGGCACTTAAGGGTGCCTCCTTGTTTATGTTCAAATTACCAATTTTCTTCAATAACTCTTTGAAATAACAACATTAATTAATATAATCCATAGGAATATCCATTGTTTCTAACAACTAGCTCAACATGCAGCTGCCACTCTCAGGTGGTGACAGCAGGGAGCAAATAAGCGCTGGATGGGGCATAGCTTTGTTGATCCTTCAGCTTCTGACTGACAAAAATTTATAATGGGCAGAAATATCATTCACTCTGTTTGTGTGAAAAATTATGCACCAACATGTTTGTCTAGTGTTCGCTTAAACAATGAAAGCGTGTCTCATCATATTTGAATCATCTAAGAGCCAATTTTTTCTCGTCACTATCTCGCTATCATTATTTAAATAAAGCTTCTTTTTGTCATAGTTAACATTGAAGAAAACAACAATGCTGTGTACAGCATCCTGTAGCTTACCATAATGAGGTCAAGTAGGGCAGTGTAGCCTGCCATCATCAGAATGTGATGAATAGTGTGAATAGATAAATGTTGTGTAAAAAGATTTGGAGTCCCCTGATTTTAAAGAAAGGATCCATGAAGACATTAGCCTTTTACAATTTGTTAAGATACACATGCATGTTAAAGCAGCAAATTTCATTTTAAACATACATGATTAAATTGTCAAAGCAGGCAGTACAAATAATAGATTTGGACTACAATTGCACCAATGCAAAAATAGATATGGGTAAAGAAAGTGAAAATAATAACAGTGGAAACATTATTGATCTTTTGCAATGCGACGAAAACCTAGCCAATCTTTATATTTCTGATGATGCATAATCATTGCATTCAATTCACATCAAACTTAAAAATTGTTTGTCGCATATGCATGCAACTGGTGTGTAACTCGTATTGATGAAGAGCTCTGCTTTTAAAGTCGAGGTAAAAAAATAAATAAATAAATAAACTTAGGTTTATAAAGCACACAACAGCTTTTGGTTCTGTCAGTAAACTGTGAACAAACACAGCCCTCTACCAGCCCTGCTACCATCCTGATAGCTCCATCTGTTCTCATCCCGCATCTTTGTGTGTGGGCGCTTGCTTTCGCAAGACCGCTTGTATTTTGCTGAACTTGCAAAGTGCCGCCACGCAGCAGATGAGGAAGAGCTCCTGGAGCCAAGTCGTGCAAAGCCCAAACACAAAACAACACACTCTGTGTGTATTCTTCACTTCAAAAGACATCTTATTTATCTAAGCATTTATGAAGACACATGCACACACAAACAATCTTGAGCCACACTTGATGTTTCCTGTCTTAGATGGCAAAGATGTTGACAAACAGAGAAATAGCTATGCATGCACATCTTATTCATGTGAAGTTAAAACTCCCATTGTGCACTGGACCAGCATCTACACATCAGGGGCTGCCAGGGTGTTGCTAGGGCAACCAATCGCTGGTTGTCCCATGGGTGAGTCACCCCCTCCCCATTTCCTCCCCCGGAGGAGAAATATCACTCCAGCAAGTCAGAGACAGAGCAATCCTATTAGGTGTTTGGTTTTCTATCTGTGTCAGTGCCTGCATTCTGTGCATGTATTTATTTACATGGATTTATTTAGTTATATATCGATTCATTCTCACCAGTTATTTAACTAACAACAAGGAAAGCTTTTTTTTTCTGAAAATCCTTTTGGAACCTGCATGCACAGTAAATTCTGTACAGTCTGAAACTAGATTTGTCTGATTTTATATTGTCATATGAAAGGCATTCATTTGTTTCATTAAAAATAAAGTATGCCATCAAGCTTATGCAAGTATTTGCATGAAGAAACAAAATAAATAAATGTTTTATCAGCAAAGCAGATCATGCAAATGCTCATGCACATGTGGCAAGTTAGAAGTAAATACTTAGTTGTAAGATTTCTGCTCTTTGGTCTTTAAAAAAAATTTTCATAATAAAAAGGGGATACATACACTAATGATCCGTTCATGTGTGCCATCAGGGGAAATGATGGTTCCATTGAGTCCAACCAGTGAAGGCAAAGTCTGGGACATCCAGTTTGTTACCATAGCCATGGTGCTGAGCACAGCACCGATCTTCAGCATGGGCACACTCATTCTGACGCACACACATTAACACAATTAGAAGAAACTCTGCTGCACCAAAGTGTTGATAGCAGACATCCCAAAATCAGCAAGAAGCTACAGTACTCCTCACGATGTTACAGGTAAAAGAAACATTGTGCAAAACTGCAAACCAGAAAAATGAAATCCAATAGAGAATTTCTCCACAGCTCAGCTCCAACAAGGTCCCAAGTTAGAGAATAAATCCTAACAAACAAGCTCCAAAGGTAAGGTGTCCAATGCTCTCCAAAACAGATGTTTTGTCTTTTAAAGCGTGCATGTGTTTTTCTTCTTTTTGGCTGCCTCCTTTGTCTGAAATTAAGGAGTTGTGACTGAGCCCAAGCTGCTCTGTGGTTTTATCCACTAACTCTCTGCTTCCCTCTCTCCATCTCACTCTGGTCACACCCCTCTATCCTTTACACAGACTCCCTCTGGTTCTCTTAACTTGTTCATCTCAACTGCAAAATTATCTTTATTTAAAAATATGATGCACAAAAGAATCTCACTGGACGCCTTAAATAGATAAATAGCTCTCATCCATATAGCACTTTCTTTTTCTACCATTTCAATATTCTTTGTATGGGTAATTTGTATGTCTTTATGACTTCTTTGAACTGATATATTGATTTCTCATCCAGATGCAGTTTTTAATACGTTATCTTTTCCTTTTTGCTGATAGTTCTTGTTTTTCTTCTTATTCTGTATGAATCCACAGTGTTCTGGATTGACTTGTCTCTTGTCTGAGTATTTGATGGTTTTAGCAGAGCTTCACAAGCTGATCCAATCCTGCCACCATGTGGTCATTTTGGTATACAAATGTGTGAAACACTGTGGCTCTCCAGAGCTTCCATAGACAACAAAATTGTTCTTTGTAGCAATAATATTAATAACAATACTATGCACCAAATACTAACAATAATAACTTTTTATAAGGACTGGTTTTAATCTGAAACTTCTAAATTAAGAGTGATTTATGTTTCATTAAGTCAGATTACCTCATGATATATTACCAACTGGAATTTCTGAAATCTTTTTTTTTCTGTGTGTGTATTCTATATTTAAAGTAGACAAACCTTATTCAAATAAAGTGCTTGACTTCCGGAGTCTCACTTAAATGTACACTCTTACTCAAAATATTGTTTTTTCACATTATTACGTTATGTTTTAGGTAACACCACTCTTTTAACTTTTTTTCTGAGTAGAAAACTTTTTTTTAAACAAAACATTTTTTTTTTTGTTAGGATAAAATTCTCTCTTACAAAGTGAATGTGCTTAGGGAAAAAGAAGATAAGAGGAAAACATAAAATAACATCTTGAAAAAATAAAGAAAACATCATCATCTTAAATATCTTCTGTATCAGGGACGAACTGCTAGTAGGGCAGTAGTGTCTGCTACCCGGCCCTCAGGACCCACTGACTGGCATGTTTTAAGTATTCCCCTGCCTCCACACACCTGACTTTAATGGGTAATTAGCAGGTCCCTGGCTGCTGAGAATGGAATGAAATTATTTGATGCAGGGTTATCAGACGCATACAGTTAATGAATAGATGGTGACTTAATTTGATGCAGGCATAGACCAGCCATAGTATTAGGTGTGAAGCAGATCTTTGATCAGTGTTTTCAAACCTGACTATAGATACTATGTACATTTTAACCAGCTTATGATTGCAACTAAATAACCTGCTCTAGGTTACTATATATGCCCATGGCCATTTTTTCCCTTTCCACATTTTAACTAACCCACTGTAGGTACTTTATCATGGCTTTGTTCTCTTCAGCAGAAACAAGATTGCCATGTCTTGCCATCTCACTTAATACCCTGCAAGATTCACCACAATTATAAATGTATTGCGACTCAACAAATGCCTAGAATCAACATCTATATTTTGCAAGCAACTCTTTTTAGAAGCAACCCTGTCATCAAGAGGTGGATAGACTAAACGTGTTGCCAAGACTGCTTAGGTGGTCAGAACACCTTTAGAATCTGGGGTCAGTGATTCTTGTTGCTCAGTTTCTACATTTTAGGGAATTTATTTCTTGCATAGAAAGAGCCAAAAAAGTTTATGCTAAAATTGCTTGAGCTCTTAAAGCACTGTGACATGCAGGACCTGCTAAACTGTTTATACTGGGAGGACTTGCTCACAACCCAGTGGACAGAAAAATTACCAACAGGGGTCTCAGGAACAGAGGGAAAAGGTGAGCGTGTAGATGAAAAGAAGCAAGTAAACTTAATGAGCAGGATGGCAGAGATGCTAAAAAATAAAAAAGAAGAAAGACCGATAAACTTGAATAAAGCCAAAAAGACATAAAACAACCTCAAATTAAAAATATAGAGATCTTATTTTTTTAAAAGCAAGGTAAAAAGTCAGATTATATATCTTTTTGTCTGTCATTCCAATATTTTTAAGATAAACTTTGGGTTCTCAAACATAAAATCCATGTCATTTTATTGATTATTATTTTCTTTTTGTTCATAGTAGCTTAGTTTACTTGAGTTTCACTTGGTTAGTTAAGAGTTTCTCTCCAAAATGTTTGATTTGAAGCTGAAATATTCTGGTAAAGAATGCTTTTATTTTGAATGGATTTTGTATTCCCCGATTAAGGCAAGACAAGTTTATTGATATAGCACATTGCAGCAGCTCAACAATTTCAAGTCCTGTATATAAAAAAAAAAAAACGGAACATTAAAAGAAACAGAAATGAACATTGCTGTGGAATAGAGGTAATTTAATAATTGATCAATATTAATAATTCAAGAGAATAAAAATGTATAAATAAAATTATGAGATAAGTATAAAAATGAGAAATTCAAATCATTGATAGTAAAATTAAAGATAATTGGACTACAAACCTAAACTATTAATGTAGTTCTTAATTTTGAATTAAAGCAGGTTTGCAGGGCTCGGAAAAGAGGACCCAGTATTTAAGGCAATACAGGCAGTGGGATTGTTCAGAAAGTGTTTATTATCAAAACAGATCTGCGGCAGCAGCAGCTAGAGTTTATAAGGCAGGAGCGCCTGCAGGAGAAAAACACAGGGTAGTGACCAAAATAAACTGATGGACGATGATTATACACATGAATCACAAACCTGGTTTAACAGTAGTGTTGCACCGATACCAGTATCGGATGGGGCCCCGATACTGCCCTAAAATGGTGGTATCGGTATCGGCGAGTACCAACTAATAGGGCACCGATATCATTTTGAGAGCCATAAGTTTATTCAACTATTGTCACCCATTTCTGGTAGGCAATAAAAAGTTCAACTGGATTCACTTTGTATTAGATTTTTTCCTGCTTCACAAAGGTAGGCAGCAGCTTGACAAAGCCATGATGGCAATTATTTTACATTATTATGGTATCGGTATCGGCCGATACTGCACAGCCAGTTATCGGGTATCGGTGTCGGGGCCAAAAAATGGCATCGGCGCAACACTATTTAACAGTTCAATCCATGCCCAGGGAATGAGGTAGGATCCAGTCAGTGCGATGCAAACAAGGTGCGGCGGGCGCCGCCCAGAGTGTCTCAGACATTGCAGCCTCGGAGAATGGAAAACAAGGAGGAGACTAGATCTGAGCCGATGAAGGGGGGCAGGAAAATCCAGAGGGCGAAGCCAAAGCCGGGGTCGAGGACATGCTCAGGATTCAGAACCAGGAGATCAGAAGTCACAAGAGGTTCCAAGGGAAATCCAAGTCAGTGACAGGAAACAGCTCCAAGCTCAGCAACAGAGAGAATCCCACAGGAGTCCAAAGACAGGTCAGGTAAACAGATCAGACTGGAACTGGCAGGCTCAGTGGTTGAGAGGCAGAACAGGATCAGGTAATCAGAAACTCTAAGTTAAGGCTGAAACGCTCTCACCAATGACTCGAGAATAATCTCGCCTGACAACTGGAAGCAGGCAGGTAAAAACGGATCCGATGGGAACAGGAGGGCTCAGTGGATAGGCAGAACAGGAAATCAAACACAAAACACTTAAGTAACGCTAGACGCTCTGAACGCTCTCCCCACAGGCTCAACCAGAATAATCTTACACTGATGACTGGTAGCAGCTAGCTTAGATAAAAGCAGGAGCAGTTGAGCAGTAATGAGAATGAGAAAATGGGCAGAGGTACACAGGTGAGTGTAATCAGTAATTAATCCAGTCAACAGCACCAAGGTGATGACAAAGTTAGGGTTTCAGGTCTTTTACACCTTTCTAAAAGTTTGTTCTATATCAATATTAATTGATGATATAAAAATATATGGCAGGTGACTAAAGGATTCATACCAACCTAAATACTTTCTGAACAATTGATCAAAATTTAAGTCAGGAATAGTTTCATGGGTCAGCTAAAAAATGTAGATAGATAAATACCTATTTGACCAAAAAGAAAAATCAGGAACCATTTCTTTTCCAACTGTTGCTTCATAATATATTAGTTGTGGTTCTGAGTACAGGTGTAAATTACATATAAAATAAAATCTGAAAACTTCTAAAGGAAGGTGAATTCTTACAGCTGTACTTAATCTTAAAAGAAAGAATTTAATTTCTTTAGCAAAAAATCCATAAAATGAAGGTTTTAATCTTCTAGTAGTACAATGTTGATTTTAGCTGTATTTATTACTACAAAATATATATGAATACAAAAAGTAACCTTATAGATAATCATTTTGGCAACACGGGAATTTTATATTTCACATAAGTAAGAGAGCTTTACTGTGAGACGGTTGCAACACAAGTCTTGTGTATTAGCATGAACGGCTTCCTCTTCTTTACAGGAAAACCAAATTGAAAAATAGTGTTTTCCTATTTTTTTTCATCTTTTATGTTATTGTTGTTCTCCCTAATGCTGATATTTTCCTGTGTTGATAAATGTATGAATAAAAAAATAGTCTTGGTTTATTTTAGCTGAAGCTCGCCAGTGATCAGCAGATGAACGACCCACACGGTGTCATATGGACACGTCACTGTAAATTTTCTGTTCTTGTTTTCAGACTGCACTTTTTTCCTTTTTCTTAGCTCTGGGGTTTTAGTCTAACTGTGTTTTGCCTGAGGCTGAGTCCTGGACTTGGAAGTCACTCAAGCATTGACTGGAGACAGATGGCGACTCAAAGAATGTACAGAGAGTTACTGAGAGGAGGGATTTTGCTATTTGTTTTTGCAACATGGTCAGATCAGGTTTAGATACAATAATTGTGACAGGGTGCTTTTTTTGGTCTCAAACCACTTGTATATGCTGTTCAAAATTCACTACAGAATGAAATCTTTTATGCTAAAATGACATATATTCCAGTGCCGCAGAATCTTCAAACAATTCCATTTCTATCATAAATATAAGGTTACAAGCCCTCAAGATTATTTAGCATTAATTCAGTAATTAATATTT